TTTCCAAAAGATAAAATAAATGTGCAATGTTTAGCATATTAGCATACTTGGCGATCAAATTCTCAAAGTGCAGCTGTTATTGAATTTGCTGAATGAGTTTATGAAAACATTAGTTTTGGTTTCACCAAATTATCTGCAGGGGGCAGCAGAGAATGCTCCTAAGGCAAATATAAGGAGAGAAATACAGTTTCTTTATCTTTTTTTCTCTGTCTTCAAAACAAACTATGGAGTTGTAAGAGTGCTCAACTAGAAGAAAGAGTGAGTGAATAGATGAACAGATTTAGGAGGGGTGAGGAGTGTGGAACATGCATCGGAGACAAGACAGTTAAAAAATACTTAATAATGTAATTAGCCACATAACTAAGAAACAAACTTCGGAGTGAGGTTTATTGGGCTTGAGTCCTGTTTCCATCACTTAGTAGCTATATGATTGGACAATTTATTCTACCAAGTTGAAATCTTTAAAAATATATTTTTATTGATTTCAGAGAGGAAGGGAGAAAGAGAGAAACATTAATGATGAGAGAGAATAGTTGATTGACTGCCTCCTGCATGCCCTCCTCCTAGGGATTGAGCCCACAACCCAGGCATATGCCCTGACCGAGAGTCGAACCGTGACTTGCTCGTTCTGTGGTCGATGCTCAACCAGTGAGGCACACTGGTCAGGTGGTTTCTTCAACTTTAAAATGGGGACAACAGTTATGTTTACTACACAGATTTGTTGAGGGGATTAAATGAGGCCATATTTATAAAGTGCTTAAAACAGGGCCTGGTGTTAAGCTAAGGGCTTGATTATTTAATATGGATATGACCACTGAGGTCTAAAATTGATATTAGGTAAAATATAAACTGTAGTTAATAATTTCTTTCCCCTGGTTTTACTTTTCATTTGTTATTGCACACATTTTTATTTTTAAGCATCTATTTCTAATTTGTTATTTTTATACAATCTGTGAATTCATACTGACATATATTTTGTCTAACTTTCAAAGGAGAGTTATGGAGGTGATATGGCATCAACTGTATATTGAAAGTGAAAATTTTCAAGGTAAATATCAATGGTATAGTAGAATATAAAAATAGATATATACATTTTTGTGAGGCTTGTTTAAGTTACTCATTAGTACTTTTAGTGATTGTGTAGGAGATCCAGGATTTCAGATATGTCTTCGGAGCTGGGGCTATGAAAACTGTAGACAAGTGAATTGGAGAACAGGAAACTAGGACCTGGCCAGGAGAGCAGCCATTTTTATGCAGTCATTGAATTATATGCCTCCGCGGCAAATCATTAGTTTCATATCTCTAAACATTGTGCTACGAGGGTAGGGAGGGAAGCAAAATAGAGTGAAGTGTTGTCAAGTGTGAGCTCCTTGAAATTCTTCACATTGTTAGGCATTGTTCTTTCACCTCTTGGAAAATATTATTTAGGACTTGGGCAGCAGAAGGACAGGGCAGATTGAGGGACTTGGGACCAGTGTGCAGTAGTGTGTGTGAACATGTATGTATGTGCATGTTCTGGGAGGCTAAGTCCAGTCACACGGCTAAGAGAGTTCAACAGAAAGAAAAATGACAAGTCAAGTAGGTATTGCCCCATTTTTTGCAAAGGCATACACTCAGAAAATTTAGCTAAGGTATCAGAGGCAGGCAAGTACTTGAGTTCTAGGCAGTCAAGACTCAAATTCAGGAGGTGAAAGAACAGGCAATGGAGAACAAGAGGCCAGGAATAAATGCTTATTAGTGTCCGAGCAGTAAGGATTCAAGATTCACGAAAAGCTTCTACATAAAGGGGAAGTATCCCAATGATTTTTTTTCCTTTTTTTCAATTTTTAACTATTTTATTTTTTATTTTATTGTTTAAAGTATTACAAATAGTAGTACATATTTTTCCTTTTTACCTCATTGACCTCCCCTCAGGCTCTCTTACATCCTGGCACATGCCCTCAACCCCCTACCTCCCCTCAGTGTTTTGTGTCCATTGGTTATACTTATATGCATGCATACAAGTCCTTCGGTTATCTCTTTTGTGGAATATAAAGAACATTATAAACTGATGAACAAAAATAGATACAGAGGCAAAGAAGTAATGAGCAGACTGTCAGACTAAAGCAGGAAAGCCGGGGAGGGTTGTGGGGGTAAGAGATCAAGGGACTTGTATGCATACATGTAAGCAATGTCTTCTAACTGGTTTAAGGTTGTGGCTAAGTCTGAACCTGACACTGAAGACAAAGAAATACATCTGACTGGGGAAAATTTACTTCAAAAGCCTTTAAACCAGCTTGTGAGTAAGTCAAATGTGCAAATTTGGGGGCATTATGTTTTAAAGCAACTCTAAATTACTGAAGCTTACCAAACCCCTTTGTTTTGGCCACCACAACATTAACCAGCAATAACATTATTTCTTTATTCTTTTCTGTGCCCTGAATCACCATTGGTAGTATTGAAGAGGAGTTAGGAGATTGGATGGAGCAAAAAATTTCGATTTCTGGTTTGAGCTGGACCTTTCTTTTGATCTTGTCTTGCTCTTCTGCAGAATAAAGAGTGGAGTGTTGTCAAGTGTGAGCTCCTTGAAATTCTTCACATTTTGGGTCCCCGGGCCCAAGGGGCACATCTAAGGAGAATCTGGGCCCTTTAGATTTTTCATAGACATGCATTAACTAGACAAGCACTTTTTTCTCTTATTATATTGACTCTCATGGTATATCTTTGGTGGATGGTTATGCTAGCAAACACTTGGTCCTTTTATTGTTCTTCCAAACACCTGCTGTCCTTAAGAGGTAAAGGTGGGGGTGAAGAATTGGGGTGAAGGGGATAAAGGGTCGGGGTAGGAAGTCTCATCCTGCCAAATCTACCTCTAGAATTCTATAGTGTTTGACACCATTCATTTGATTCTTAAACTGCTGATGGTAGATTGCGGTCTGACCTGAGATAAGTGCATGGGAGAATGTCTATGAAAGCCGTTGCCTGAAATTTCAAACCAGAGGAGTTGAGTGGGAAAAACAAAAGGCTGGCAAATGTGCAACGTGAGTTTTACTCCTAGCTGTGCCACCAAGTCATTTGTAGACATTAAGCAGGCCACATAGCCCTTCTGTGCCTTAGTTTGTGCTGACATTGAACAGGTATTAAAATAAATGGTCACCAAGAAGTCCTGATGGCATAAGAAAGAACTCATGTAAGTTTAATATAAATGGAAACAAACAAACAAACAAACAAACAAACAAAAAACAGGCTACTGATTTGATTAAGAAACTTGCCCACTATCATCCGACTAGTACTTGCCCGGCAGAGACTCAATACTAGGTCTATCTGATACCAAAACTCATGGTCATAACTGCTATGAACTTTAACATCAGTGTGGTGGAAACAAGAGTGCTATATTTGAAGTGACATTTCATCACTGACTTTCTGACACATGGTACAATTTTAGACATCAGGAAGCTGTTTTGGCTGTCATCTATCATTGTCACATAGTCCATATCTTTAGGTATTCAATGCCCTCAAACACCCGATCTCACTGTGTATTATTGGCTCACTGAAAGGAAAGCTGGAAAAGAGGAAGGGGGAGAATATATATATATATATATATATATATATAGTTTACTATTTGGCAAGAGGAAAGATGAAACTGCTAACTTACAGGAAAAATATTGCATGCTGTTTAGTCTTTTTCCTGTTTGCAGTGTTTTCTTCCCCTTCCCGGAGAGTTTTGCCTTGGAGTAGGAAATTCTTAGCACATAGAGAATTTCTTTCCTCCAAACAATCCAAATGCTCATGAACTAGCTCTTTAAGGCAGAGGTTTTTTGTTGTTGATCTTTTTTTTTTTTTTTTTTTTTTTGTAGTTCTCAATTATAGCTCTGTGCAACTAAAGATGAGTGCTTATTTGTAATTTGGTTCATATAATTAGTCTAGTTCTTCAAAAGTGAAAATGAATGAAAATAAGTATGAAATTGTGATAGAGTAATGCTCCCTTCACTACCCCCCCCCAAAAAAAACAAAAAAACAAAATTGTGACCTAAATTCTGAAATTTGTAAATAGGTTAATTTATATGTGAAAAGGGAATTTTCAGATATGATTAAGTTAAGAGTTTTGAGATCGGGAGATTATTCTGGATTATCTGGGTGGTCCAACATAATCACAATGGTTTTTATAAGAGGAAAGTAGGAGAGTTACAGTAAAAGAATGTGACAATGGAACAGAGGTTGGGAATAATGCAGCTACAAGCCAAGAAATTCTGGTGGCCTCTAGAAGCTGAAAAAAAAAATCAATGAACAGATTCTCTCCATGTGTCCAGAAAGAACACGGCCCTCCCAACTCTTTGCTTTTAGCCCCATAAGATCTATTATGAACTAGATTCATTCCTGTTATTTTAAGCCACTCAGATTGTGGTAATTTGTTACAGTAGTGATAAGAAAGCAATACACTTACAATGCATCTAGTGTTGTAAATATTGTAGACAGCAATTTTATGCAAAATTTTTCAAGGGGAATGTTTTATTACAAACTTTATTACTAAGGCTGTTCACCCCTTCAATTTGGAGAGAGCTTCTGAAAGTTACCATGATTGGGAAGTTTAATGGGATGGGCCAAAAATAGATACATATTCTGTTGTGTTTTTTAATCCAAGTTTAGACAAGTCCGTTGATCTTGGTCAATGCCTTACTGTAAGGTTTATCTCTGTACAGCAGAAGTGAGAGGAGAACCAATGAGCTGAAAGATAACTCAATCAATCTGCTTCCTCCGTCTTTGCTTCAGTGCTTCATACAGGAAATCTATTGCTGTGTCAAGTTCCAGAGAAGAGTTTCTTCTGTTCCAAGTTACTAATCAGTCAGAAACACATAGAGTTGAAGGAAGCGGCCAGGAGGAAAGGAGTGCCCGGCTGCTGATGGCCTAAGAGGATTCAGCTCGGAGAAGTGGCCAGAGAGAGCCTCACCATGCCCTCAGCTCCTTTTGCACCTGTGTGGAGGAGAAGGGCTGAGTGAAGGGCGGAAAAGAAGAGAATAGCAATGCCCTGCTCTTGGAGAACTTCTGACCTACAGTTACTACTGATGTTGACTGTCTTCTCAGTGGCTGGTAAGTTTGAATTGTCTTTGGAAGAGTGACAAGAGAATGACTGGTGAGAAACCTGGTCTCAGAATTTCCGGTGCTTTCTTTGCCTTTCTTCTGGAGATAAATACAGACAGATATGGGAGATGGGGTTGCTCCCAGATTTATTTCACTTTATTATCCTTATTTTACTTCATATCTGACTACAGTATACTCATTTCTATGATTTGCCTCATTGCCCGTTTTCTTATTTTCCCCTCCTTTTTTTTTGAATGAAGCTGAATACATTAAAAACTTTCTAGTAGCAATCCAAGTCATCTGGGTCATCTTTATCTTCTCTCTCTCTTTTTAAACAAGATTTAAAATAATACTTTCAACCCATTTAGGTCCATATTGTTAATATAAATTAGGAAATTTTATTGCTTTCTAGCACTTTTTATGACCAGGTGCTTTTTAAAATATAATATGCTCAGAGTTTGGTGGTACATCTGCAATGTATGTCTGTGTTTAGTTTTAAGAGGTGCAGGCTGTGAAAGACACTTTCTGTGCCGGAGGACACACTTCAGTGCCTAGGTTGCTGTGGGTGTTTAGAGGACTTGGAACTGTTGTGGGGGTGTCCTGGTTTCACTGTAGAGGGTTGGTAGGAGTTGATGTGGGAGGGAGCTTTTAGGTTTCACTTTTAGTAAAGGGAGCAGTGGCAAGGAAACAGTGTAGTTGGTTTTAAATTTTGTAATTTGGTAATTGAAAGAAGAAAAGGTATTTTTTTTTCTCATTTGAATTTTCAAAGTATTGCTTATCTCCCAGCAAAAAAAAAAAAAAATCCATTTTGCACACGATAATCTTACTGATGAGCACACACAAAATAAGCAGACTGTACTACTGCACCTTTCTGTGTAGAATTTTCACATACTTTTCCTCCTTTGATCTGCACAGCAACTCAGAGAAATAGGCATTTTACAAAGATAGAAACTGAAGCTTAGAGAGGTGACAGGATTTGCCCAACACTAATAGTATATGGCAGTCACAGCATATACTATTAGTGGGTGCAACTATAAGCATTAATAAACGTTTGACTAGGCAATTTCCCTCACTATTTAGCCATTATACTTTTCTTTTTTTTTTTTAAATATATATTTTAATGAGAGCCAGAAACATCAATGAGAGAGAAACATTGACCAGCTACCTCCTGCACACCCCCCACCGGGAATGTGCCCACAACCAATGTACATGCCCTTAACCGGAATTGAACCCAGGACTCTTCAGTCCACAGACTGATGCTCTATCCACTGAGCCAAACTGGTCTTGGCCATTATACTTTTCACATTATTAAGAGCACCACTGAAGAAAAGTTAAGACAATATTGGCTATAAATTTAGTGGTATATTTATTTAAAAAATGATCCAGTGATCTGAATCTTTCATTAGTTAAGATCTTGTTGGAGAAAGCTAGTGCAGAAACCTGTGCAGAACCCAACTTTTCAGAGAAGCCATTTGTATGATTACAGATGGTTACTACATTTAGGATAGCAAACACATTATAAGATACTTACTGAGCTGTACACCTGAAACTAATATGCTATTGTATGTCAACTATACATCAAGTAATAAACATTTCATTTTCCCTTAAAAGATTAAAACATAATTGATAATTTTGAATTTTAATGGTTTAAAGGTCTGAGTTTTAAAACTATTTCTAAGCCCAACTAGGGATACTACATATATAAAATACCTGAAGTCTCCGCTTTAATAATTATAAATTTATCAAAATGTCTGGAATCAAGTTATGGAAAGCAAATTCTATGCAGTGATTTGGCATAATAGATTCACCATGAAATAATTTAAAATAATAAGCAAACCACCTGAAGCATGAATTTGCCTTTATTACTGGTATTACTTTAATAGCTTTGTATGTTATAACAAAACTTATATAAAGGTCACAATCAGTTAATCATTTCCAGGAAGAAACCATATTGTTCAACCATGAACATTGTGCAAACAGATTTCAAGTTTTTTTTTTTTTTTGTAGAGTTTATATGCCTTTTCTGTTCAAAAAACCTAGAAATACTGCCAAACATAAATAACTCACTTTAATTCAGCGAATGACTTCAATGTAAAACATAGCATTAAAAAAACGCACATAAAACCTACTTTCATCTTTACTAATTTGCTTATAAATTCAAGCAATGTGGCAGTTGCTCCACTAAGTTTATTCAGAAAATACCTAAGGGGAAAGATTAAAAAATCGTAAATGGTCCGAACTTGCAACTTTGGTCTCTTTGTATTCCCTTCACCCCATACCACTTCTTCCTCCTTATTTTAGCAAGTTATTTTCTAGTTTTTTCTTGTGTTCAAATTATATTCCAATTAATACAATTCCACCTTTTATAAAAGTCACTGATGCCAAAACTGGTTTGGCTCAGTGGCTAGATCATCGGCCTGCAGACTGAGGGGTCCCGGGTTCGATTCTGGTTAAGGGCATGTACCTTGGTTGCGGGCACATCCCCAGTGGGGGAGTGTGCAGGAGGCAGCTGATCGATGTTTCTCTCTCATTGATGCTTCTAACTCTCTATCCCTCTCTCTTCCTCTTTGTGAAAAAGCAATAAAATATATTAAAAGTCACTGATGCTGAGATTATGCATGAATTCCTGAAAATAAATTCTCCCTTCTTCCTTCCTTGACCATTTACCATTATGTTCCACTAGATGGCAGGCAGTAACAACAAGAAGAGTTATAATCAAGACAGGACTGATTTGCTTCAGCTGGTTTGCAAAAGAAGGAACAGGGATTAAAAGCAATTGTGAAATCATATGGTACTTTAAAAAAATTGCAAAAAAGAAGGGGTTTGTCCTCATTAATTTCAGTTCTATCTTCCTCTCTTGGTTTGTGATAGTTGCAAATTTACATATTACAATAATTTTAGGTATGTTTTCTCTAAACATCCATGCTTAAGCAATTAATAAACGAATCAAAAGCCATGGTTAAGAACACTGAGTGTGTGTGGAGGGTGTGTGTTATCTGTGAATAGTGCCTAAAAGTTATTAGCAGACTAAATTAGGGAAAACAAGCTAAGATGACATTTTAAGAGGACGTTTAAGAAAAACCTTTATTGTTGAGAGTATTACAGATGTCCCCCTACTCTTCCCCCACCCCCCACATTGCCTCCCTCCACCACCCTATTTTCTGTGTCCTTACATATTGCACAGATGCATATATGGTCTAGATACATATACATTTTTGGGTTAATCTCTTCCTGTTTCCCTTTCTGTCTTCTGTTTTATTATTTTTATTATTTCTTAAATTTTATTGATTTATAGAAAGAGACCAACAAAAGGAGAGGGAGAAATATTAATTTGTTGTTCCATTTATTTATGCATTCATTGGTTGATTCTTGTATGTGCCCTGACTGGGGCTCAAATCCACACTATTGGCATACAGTGATGCGGTTCTAATTAACTGTGCTACCCGGGCAGGGCAAGACATTGTTTATGAATCTAGTAAAACATGAGAGAAGTTACAGTGGGATGAAGTTGTCAAAGACTTTGTGGAAGAGATGGGTCTTGAGCTGAATGATGCGTTTGGGTTGATGGGGAAAGGTAGAGATAGAAGTAAGGAGGAGCAGGTGTGCAGTATGAACAAAAAAGCAAGTTGTTTTGGGAAGAGAAGGAACTCTTGCCTGATGACATGGAGATTGTGTGTGAAAAGATCATAGACAAAAAAGCTGAATCTCAGGAGTCCTTGATAACTAAACAGAGGAACTTGGATACTGTGCAGTAAGCATTGAAGAGCCACCTGCTGTTTTGTGAACAGGAAAACAATATAATAAAGTGATATTTTTAGGGAATAATGTGGCAGCAGTGTCCCCTTCAGTGGGAGTGGCATTTGGTAAAAGACTAATTTTGCAGAAGGAGTCAAGAGTTCCTACCTTTGGGTTTTATTTTAGAAAGTCCTATGTTTCTGCTGTGAGACTTTGGTGGTTGAGAAGAAAAGTTTCTTTGCAGAGGAAGATGTTAAATTCAATGCAGGGAGGGAGGAGAACTAAGAAGGAAATTCCTATACATACCTGGAAATATAACACAATCTAGGATTTGTGAATCATTCATGGAGTAGAGGGTCCCACAAAGGGAGTCTTCATAGAGATAAAAATAGTAGAATAGGCGCTATATACTTTTGTATTTGGGTCTTAGGAGCAATAATTATTTCTTTCCTCTCAATAACAGAGGGCAAGATCTGAGAAGAGAAGACAAGGCAATTTTTAATCTTAAATTAGAAGAGGAAAACTTTTTTTTTTTAAATCCTCACCCGAGGATATTTTCCCATTGATTTTAGCAATAGTGGAAGAGAGAGGGAAAGACAGAAAGAAATATGGATGTGAGAAAAACACATCGACGGGTTGCCTCCTGCATGCATCCTGACTAGGGTCTAGGCTGGACTAGAACTCAGTACCCTTTAGTCCGCAGTCTATCCACTGAGCCAAACCAGGTAGGGCAGAAAACTCTTTCGAAATTAAAGAGTAAAGGGAAAAGTTAAATATAGAGATTACAATAAATTAAGACTAGAAATAAGTAGATGATACATTTCCACAGTTTCATAGTAGATAAGTTGCCTCCCAACAAGTCATGAATATTTCAGTTAATGTTGCTAATTAATAAAATAACTAGTTGTCATTTGGCTTTATGATTTATCTAAAAAAATCAGACTGCACAGTGACTAAAATTCAGTAATCATCGATAAACTTTTCCTCCTTGATATCAGTGACACACGGGTAACTTCTAATTAAGATTAGGGAGATCTATGGTTATGAAATAGCTTTGTATGTTCTAACAAAACTCACCTAAGGGTCACAATCAGTTAATTGTTTGCAGGAAGAAACAACATTGTTCGTGCATGAACACTGAGCAAACAGTTTTGAATTTTTTTTTTCATAGCTAAAGTTTACATGCCTTGTCTGTTCAAAAAGCCTTAAAACAATTTGAACAACATAATCTTATGTGTATTTATGGAAAACAGTATAGACAAGTACTAGAAACT